ACCTTGCCCCTCTATTTCTGGCCTGGCCTCACTTCCTTAGCTAGGGTATAAGCTGTTTCCTCTGCCATATACCTTTCTTCTAAGACTGCTAGGGTGCAGCCCCTGAAGATTTATCAGTTGGAGCTTTGGCCAGAAGAGGCTCTGAGGTGAACGTCAGCAAGCTGGGACTAGTGTCTGGATGAAACCTGGTGAGCAGGTTGGGAAGGCTGGTAACTTGATTTCACAGGCTGTGTTGTTAACATGTAGGGCAGGATGGGATATGCCATGAGCATACACCTAGCCAGACATACCTTTGCAGTCATGCGAGGCAGGGTGAAGCAAGTGTGACACGTGCAAATGCCTTGGGGAGGTGCTAGTGTTCAAGGTAGCCTATGCTTGATTCCTCCCTCCTAGGTTGCCCCAATTCACATACCGACTCAGCCATGGCAGAACCCAAGGATCATTCTAGTTCCAGGCCCTACAACAACAGGGGCTACCCAGCTTCCCAGGGAACTTACCCCAGACACTCCAACTACTCACAAGGTTCACTTTCCTGTTACAGATTCAGTGGAGGACTTCACTGGCTTCTTCAGGCTCTCCTCCCCTTCTTGGTTACGGTACCTTGCCCATGGTAAGGAGGGCTACACTGAACCTGGTACAGAGCACGAAGCCCTAGCAGCAGTAAATAGATGCTGAGGTCTATTCAAATGATGGCACTGTCCCCAGACCCCATTTCCAAAGGGTCTTCTGGACCCCAAAATCATACCACCCCAACTGAGATGAGCCCACTGCCCCTACAGTCATCAGGACCCAAGCCACCTTCTAGGGCAGCTCCCCACAGCTGCCTGTCCTGGCAGGCTCACACAGCTGTGTTCTTTGGTCAGATAGGTCAGCAACACTAGAATCGGCCAAATCCAGAGGAACCTGCTCTCTAGTTGTTCAGAAACACCACAGGTCTGCTGTGAGAACTTGACTTTTCTAAGTATACTGTAATAGCAGCTCCCCAAGACAGGTCCCAGAACATGGCTCATGTGACCCAGTCACCAGGGTCCTAGTGATGCTGCCCTCCCCATGGTGGCTGTGGTCTTTTTTTCAATTGTGTATATATGTGAGTGCAGCACCTGTGTGCTGAAGTCTAAGAATGACTCTCCAGAGCCTGTTCTCTCCTGCCACCTTGTGGCATCTGAGGATTGGGGCCTGGACATAAGCACCTCTCTACCCGCTGAGCTATCTCTCTGGCCCACTAGGTTCAAGCAGTCTTCCTTAGTTACAATGCCAAGTCCTAGAAACCCCCTGCCCACCATCAGTTCTGTATGCCCCTACTATACACACAACTAAGAGACACCCAGAGTGGTACAACAGATACCCTCAGGAAGAACCAGCCAGCCTTTCAACCCTGGAATAGGCTAAGCAGGGCAGTAGGGGATAACAGTATTTTACAATGCCCCAAACGGACAGAAGGACGTGTGTGTGTGTGTGTGTGTGTGTGTGTGTGTGTGTGTGTGTGTACGCGCGCGTGCGCGCACGTAGTGCATCACCAAGAATAGAATTTCCCAGGGCTGGAGATATGGCTCAAAGGTTAAGAATAGGCCCTAGGTTCTCCTTGGGCAACCCCCATACAACCAACTCTCCTCAAAACACTGGCATGGGTGGGTCTGGTTCAGCGTGTGAATCCTACCCTCAAGAGTTCCACCCTTAATAACTCAATACCCTCCTCAAACCTCTGCTCATACCTGGGTACCACAGCACTCTCCATCCATGAGGGTCATGGCCAGGACAGTCTCCTCTGTCTAGCACTTAGTGAATGGAAGACCAAATCCAGATATTTGTTTATCAAAGGAATAAATCACGTGACACAGGTCATCTATTTAAATTATAAAACACTAATACTGCTATAAAAATGGCATGGCACTTTTTATTTTTATAATCACAAAAATAAGTCCCAAATTCTCAGTTCAGAGGCTGTGGTTGAGCATCAGAAAGGGGTCTATCCAGAGTGAACAGGACTAAGGAGAACAGATACCAGGCAGAGAGACTGGGCCCCCTGGCCTACTCAGTCCAGAGAACCCCAGGTAGCCAGCAGAGGTTCCAAGCCCAGGGTCTCTCTGCTCTCATCATCTCCCCTTCCTTTAGGGGCTCAATCTAGCCACTGGGACTCCAGCAGATCTAGTGTGGGGCTGGCTGCTCTGAGATGGGACTAGGGCAGGGGTGAACAACCCCTCATCACAGGTAGTGGGCTATGGGACAGGTGCAGGCCCAAAGGTGGCTCTGTAGAAAGAGGCATCAAAATCAGGGCTGAACTGTTATAACAGGGATGAAGAGTCCAGACAGAGGCTTCTAACTGCTCTACCAGTGCCTCTGGGGTAAAGAAAAAACCCTGAGAGGTGGAGAAGCAGCCACTGAGTCACTACCCCTTCACATCTCCTATGCGGCCGGAGGATCTTCAAGTAGACACTAAGATCATCCCACAGCTAAAAGAAAGTGTGACCTGAAACCTGGCCAACCAAATCCACACTATGGCCCTGAGTCACCTAAGCCATTCTGCTCAGGGCAGGGAATACAGTGGGTGGGAAGTGGGGGACAGGAGAGTGAGGCCTAGGCTGGTACTCCATCACACATGCCTAACACATACAGATACACATTGCACACACCACTCACACCTGCACACATGCATGAGAAGACTCAGATATGCAAAGACATTGTTGGCAATTAGAGGCACCAAAAGATGCTGAAGGGTCCCAACAGGCTCCAAGTCTTTAGGGTGGCTGTGTAACCTCTCCTAGAAGTTGTCCAACATAAAGCAGCACATGTGAGGGGCACAGTAACATCAAGAGGCCTGACACCCATGGAGGGGACAGTAGGATGATGGGATGATACGGAGTTCATCTCTCCTTCTGATGCGATGAGCCTGGGCCTGATCTCGGCACAGCAGGGGTTCTTGCCTTGGCCTCAATAAACAACCTCAGGGCAGGCTGGGAAAGCATTTTAGGACTAAAGAGTAACGGTTCTCACTAGTGTGGCTTGCTAATGCAGCCCAATGTAGCATGACAAATTCACCCAGGGAGTTATCTACAAGCCTCAGGCTCCAGGACTCACAGATGGGGCTTGGCGGGCCACCCCTGGGGCAGAGTGTCGAGTCCACTGTGTCCTCATGTGCCTGAAGGGATGGCCCAGGATTGAAGGCCGGGGCTGAGGGGCTGGCACCAGATCCAGCAGGGACTGCCGCCTTGGCTGACAAAGGGGCCTCAGAAGAGGCTGGGGGGCCAGGCCTGGCTGCCCCAGAAGTGAAGGGCGATCGGGTAGGGGAAGTAATGGTTGGGGTTTGCGAGGCTGGTCTGGGCCCAGAAGTGACCTCAGGGGCTTCTTTGGGCCCATGAGGGGCTGTTTGGGTAGGTGGGATTGCTCTGGGCTAAGATGTGGGCATGTCTGTTGTGACTGTCTAGGACTCAGCAAGGCAGGCTTGGGAGGACTACTTTGCTCTGGGCCTTGATTGCTGGGGCTAACTAATTGCTGGGGCTGCTTGGGGCCCACCGGTGACTGTTGGGGGCAGCTAGACTGGCCCATGAGGGATCTATGGGGCTGGCTCTGCTGATGTGGGGCCAAGAGTGCCTGCGGGGGGCAGCAGCACTGGCCTGAAAGGCAGCTGGTGGGACGACGGCTTGGTTGCAAGGTGAGAGTCCGAGGGGGCTGGCACTGCTGGCACTGAGCTAGCAGTGACTGTGGGGGCTGGCAGCGCTGTCCTGAGGCAGCCCTACAGGGCTGGTCACAGAGACACAGTGTGGTCCTTGACTGCAAAGGTCCGCAACGGTGCCACACGGTCAGTAGAGACCGGCAGAGGTGACACGAGGTCAACAGGGACCGAAGTGGGTAGCGATGCCATGGAGTCTGGATGGACCGCAGGCGCTGCCTGGAGCCTGGAAGCGCCAAGAGTGGCCTGCGGGGCTGAGCCAGGCGTGGGCGCTTGGTCTGGCTGAGCTGATCTGGGGCCGGAAGCAGATGCTGGGGCCGGTGGTGCTGACCAGGGCCCAGAAGTGGGCGCCGGGGCTGGCAAGGCTGTCTCAAGCCTAGAAGTGATCGATGGGGCCAAGCACGCTGACCCAGGGGTGGCCGCTGGGGCTGGCAGGGCTGCCCCGGGGCTGGGAGGGGCCCCTGGGGCTGGCTGGACTGGCTGGGCTGTTGCAGCTGCTGGTGCTGGGCCGGGCCGTTCTGGTGCCAGGGGCTGGCTGGGAGCGGCCCCCCTTCTGGGGAGCACACCTGCATGGAAGAAAGAGTATGTGTCCACCTGGGCAGGTGCGCCCACGGACCCCCCATCCAGCCCAGGCCCAAGACATGCTATTCCCTCTCCAGAGCCCAATTCCCAAGGGAACTCAGAGCAGAGCCTTAACTGCTGAGAAAAGCCCTTTTCTATAAAGAGAGCACAGGCCTAGGGTCCCCAGGAGGAATGCAGCCGTAGCACTAAGCCATGACCCAGGACAGACCCAGGCAGCCCAGCCCAGTTTCCACCTACTCTGACAGACCTCATCTGGCCAGGAACACTCCTCCTCCACGGGGGCCATCCTTTTTCTTGGTTTCTCCTCTCACTGCTGGACCACCAACCTGAAGCCTTTGGCTGAGCATTCCCCTCTCTTAGCAGGAGCCTGGTCCCCACATCCATTTACAGAGACACTCTAGATGTCTCCAGACACCTAGTCGGCGGAACCTGACGGACGCAGTGGGAAACGGGGCTGGCCTATCAGCTTGGCACTGTCACCCATCCTGGCCAGCACACACCCCTGAACTCCTGGGGAGAAGCAATAGCACTGGCCAGGCAGGCCTTTCCAGCTGGGCAGACAGACAGGTCCCCGCACCTCTGTGACCAGCCTGGCTCCTACCTGTCTACCCCATACCCCAAGCCCAGCAATGATGGAGTGCATTGCCAGGCAGGCCAGACGCCGAAGGGTGGGGTCCAGGTGCATGTATGGTCCTGGTGCAGATCCCACCACTGCAGAGGTCTTGAGTAAGGGAGGGCACAGGATGCTCACCTGTTTGGAGGGCTGCAATGGGACCTTCCTAGTCCCTTCATCACAAGTGGGCTCTGCATCCTGCCCTGGACTGCCCGCCTCCAGGGGCTGCCTGTTCTCACTCAGCTCAGCAGATGGGCAGTTTTCTGACTCTCGGGGCTTCTTGATGAGGCGTTGATCCCATTTCTCCTTCCGTTCATGTGGCTTCAGAGCCATATCCTTCTGCAGAGGAAGAAGGAAATGCCTGTCAATCTGTGGGAATACCCTAGGGAAATGGAGCAGGCTCTCAGGCTATGGTGACTCCTCAGGGGAAGGAGCCTCTAACCTGGGAAGCCATGTCTGAAGGGAAATGGACAGGTGATGGCTGAATGATGTAGGAAGGCCCCAAAGTTCCCAGGGGCCCAGTAAACAGTATTGTAGAATCTTCATGAATGGTATACCTGGGAACTCTGAGGTGACACACATAGGAAATGTCCCTTGGTAACATGCTATATAGAATAGGAAATGCCCCAGGTGATACCAAATTTCCCAAAGGAAGTACCCCCAGGTGATCCCAATTCCTCAGTTCTTCCCAGTGACATACTTCATTCCACAGGAAGCATCACTATCCAGGAGACTGCGTATATCCAGAGTCTTGCCAATTATCCTTCATGTTGCCCAACTTCTAGGTCATTACAGTCAGCTAGCCCTGTCAGTGGCCATCTGTGCCCCCATGTTCTGGGGCCCCCACTTCTGCAGCAATGACCAGCACTGATCACCAATGATGGCACAGAAATGAGATAAACACTCACATGCAGCTTGGACTCCCTCAAAGCAGTGGCCAGTGAAGAGGTCTACAGAAAGACAAAACCTCCCAGAAAACAGAAAGTCTATATGTAAGGAAACACCACTAGGAAGCCAAGGGAGGGCCACCACAAAGCCACTTTATCATCACAAGACCTCAGAGGCAGAGCTACCATGCTTCCCCCTCCCAGAGATAGAAGATCAGAGTTTTCTACCCTGCCTTCTACCTTGGACAGGTCAGGGATGAGCATAAGGATCTTCTGCAGTACACAAGTATTTTGCAGGTCCTGATCTCATTTCATTGTCCCCATACTGCAGACTGTCTAGTCACCTGTCCACAAGGGCCCTGGGCTATCCAGACTGCCCTGCTGCTAAGGGCTGAGATGTACAAAAGGAGCAAAGATTTACAGGAACTCTGATGTTATAACTGTGATGCGGCTGCCTGCAGGGTGTTTCAGACCCAAAGTCTAAATAAACTGAGGTCAACTTTAATAGATACTGAGCAATGACAATCTCTGACTACGACACCAATGGGTTATGGGAGGGGGCAAGCCTGGACTTCCCCAAAAGCAGAAAGGCAGAAGGAAAGAGATTATTATGAAATAATCAGACAGGGATACTGACAGCCAGTGAGTACAGATCCAGTCCCAGGCCCCTACCGAGGGTTTGAATTTACTATCCTTCTTCTGTATGTATTTGATACTTTGCTTTTTAAAAGATCAAAAATTCCACTGGCTCCTCCCATTCTGTTGGTCCACTTTCTGGCCTCATCCTGCACACGGGACTGTTTTCCTGGTCATCTGCCCCACTTAACCTAGGGAAGGAAGGGCTAGTGAGAGATAGTAGCCAGCCCCTACCGAGACGAGACCTTCAAATTTCCCTAATGAGTACATCTTGTGTACATTCGCCTGAGAGAACAAAGGTGACTCACTCAGGGGCACTAGCAGGACTGTCATCAAACCTCAATTCTGAAACTTTTGGTGTAAACCAACTTTTTCACCTTTCATGTTAGAAGAACATAGAAAATGCTCAAGCACCACCTAGACTACCTGGAGAATAATGGGTCATTCTGTCTGGCTGGCCATTCTGGGAGCTTAAGCCTGGCCACAGCACTGCCCTGTAGAACCTATCTCTAAAAGCCCTGACTTTAGACCACCAGTGAGGGAAAGGACTTCACTAGCCTAACCCATACTCAGATCACAGAATAGATATGACACACAACACAGGGCTGCCTTTAGCAATGTCCCATGGTTGCTGCTCTACAATCTACCACCCCCTACTGGATAAGCACTGAGGCTCAGAGGTTTTGCAGCCATAAGCCAGGGCCCAGGCAGTCAGCACTGGAGCATGGGTCTGCACCAGGTTCAGGTAACCCTTAGAGAAAGCAGGGGTCTAGACTAGCTGTCTTCAAGTGAACCAAAGCAATTCCAGGGAAAGTGTTGACCACTTACAAAGGTGCCAGGACACCAAGGAAAGGCTCAAAACACTTACAGATTGCAGAAGTGAAACATAAGTTACAGATGAAGAAAGAATAAGTTCCATATTCACGACCCAGTGTAGGCCCTGCCTTGGGCATTCTGCTAGACACTCACTAGATCCACATACAACCAGTACTGAGTACCTTAAAACCAAATGCAGACACCAGAGGCTCAGAGAAGCCACCCAGAAAGACAGCCTGATCTCTAGTGCCCCAGAGCCTTGCAATCAACCCTACTCCAGCACCCTGGGGAATGCCAGCTCCTGCAGTATGGCAGAGGCCAAACACTGGGAGCCCAAGGAGTCATCCTATTAGGACCTGTAGCTACAAGACAGAGTACACAGTAGATCTGACTATATCATGTGCATCAGGGTTAGCCACCAGTCAAGCTCACACACAAGGCTGTTTGTGGCAACAGTCCCACAATCATGCCAGGCTTCAAACCTGTGTTCCCCTCCTCAAAAAGAATACTAAAGCTGAGTGCCTAGTAAAGAAAACTGCCCATTCAATTTTCTTTTTCTTTCTTCTTCTTCTTCTTTCTTTCTTTCTTCCTGACTTTGAGACAATATTTCTCTCTGTGGCCCTGGCAATCCCGGAACTCTGCTCTATAGACCAAACTGGCCTTGAACTCAGAGATCCACCTATCTCTACCTCTCAAGTGATAGAATTAAAGGCGTGAACCACCACTGCCCAGGTCCCCCTCCCATTCAATTTTCTAGTGGTGACTTAACATGACCCACTGTGTTACTGCTATGCAATACCAATAAAATTTCTAATTGCTCTTCACTAAACCAACCACAAGGTGACTTGCTCAACCCCGTCCCCTTTAGTCAAGAAGGTACATGCTCACTCTTATTCCTGTTAGCAACAAGCCTAAGACTGTTCCCTTTGGCAAAGCAAGAAGGCCTGGCCCAAGCAAGAACAGTCTGTCTGAAGCCTTGTTCCCAGCTTCCCACCCCATGTGACAATACTGCCCCTGGAAGTCTGAGTTTGGAGCTTCAGAACCTTTACAGGTAACCATTGCTCCAGCACTCCAGGCTCCCTTCTTACCAACTACTTAAAAACCCCAGGAGCCCTCCTCATACTTCCCCTCATGCTTAATCTACCCTGTTTACTTGTTCTCTGGGCTACAGTCTTTTCCCATTTCAAGGTCTCCACTCGGGCAGGACTCCCATGAACCACTACATCCCTGCAGTGTCTTTGACCCCTGGGGGTAAGCACCAACCTACTGCCATGGCATCTTTTTGTTGTTTTGGTTTGGTTTTTTCAAGACAGGGTTTCTCTGTGTAGCTTTGGAGCCTGTCCTGGAACTCACTGTAGACCAGGCTGGCCTCGAACTCACAGAGATCCGCCTGCCCTTGCCTCCCAAGTGCTGAGATTAAAGGCGTGCGCCACCACTGCCTGGGCTGCCATGGCATCTTAATTGGAAATAAGCTAAGGTGGAAACAGGGCTCTCCCACCCAAATCTCCCTCTCTTCAGCTTACCTCTCCCAACTGGCTAGTGACTTTCATTCATATAGAACCTGTGTCACACGTTTCCAAGAGAAATGCCCATCTTCACAGGCCCTCATGACTTCTTACCTGCTCCAGAAGGCTCTAAACCACTGCACCCCATCTCTGAAATCTCCAAGTTCATGGATGTCACCTTCATACCCACTACCCAGCTGCCAGCAACCAGTGACAGCAGGCTTCAGTGTATAGGCCAAGGCTCCTGAGTGTCCTGTGACCAGTGCAGGCTGCCACGTGATACAAGGAGGCAGAGATACAGCCATGCTGCTAACAGAACTACTGCTACAGTGCTGGGGTTCAAAAAAAGTTGGGGAGGCCAGAGCATCAAGGGATCCAAGGGCCACAGCCCACCCTGCAATTGCTGAGCAAAGTGTTTTGAGCATTCCATCCACCAGGGTTCTGGCAAAGAATCTTCAACCTTTCAGATCTTAGTCCAGCAGCTGCACTATGCACAACACCGTCTGGGCAGAGGGTCACTTGGAGACAACAGCAGACCTTACTCTATGGCTAAACAAGGTGTAGTAGAGGTATGACACGCTGACATTAGCAGTACTATCTAGGAAGGAGCTGGAGCTAGACAGAAGAGCACGGAGGCCACTTGCTTGGGGTCTACATCAAGCTACTACATCATATCCACATTGCTGGCCTGAGCAATGGTTCAGACATCAGTCTCCACAATCCTTTCTTCCAGCTCCAATTTGTTGAAAGGCCATGGTCCATTCAGACAGACAGCCTTGTTCTCTGATCCTATGTCTCTTATTTGTTTGTTTGTTTTGGCATGGTTTCTCTAAACTGCTGTGAGGACTGAGGCCTAGGACAGGGCCAATGAGGGAGGTGGCCTAAGGGTAGCAGTTTGCCAGGAAGAAAGAAGCATGTAGGAGGGACCTATGGGATTTCAATTCTGACCCCATGGCCTGACTGGGGCCACTCTTGTGAGGATGTAGGTTCTGTGTACTTTGAACACACAATTTCCCACAGCCATAAAAGACAAGAAATTAGATCATTTAGATTTGAGAGTGAGGACAGTGAAAAGGGGTGGGAACCCAGATGAACAAGGTGGTCTCAGAGCAGAGACAAGCTTCAACCTGTGTGGCTAAGGCAGGAAAGGGGAGAAAGTCCCTGCACATGGCTGATGATGCCCGCTCCAGACTATCCTAGGTGTGGTAGCCTTCAAGCCCCAGTCAGAAACTCCCAGTCAGTACTCCTAAGAGGGACAGTCTACCCTAAACCATTTTTTTCCCTGGCCTATCCTCTTTAGCCAGAAAGCAAGGCAGGCCAACAATCCACCCATCTGTCCACAACAGCACTTTCTCCTCCAAGCCCTGGGAAGATACATCTCAGGTCTGATTTCTGCCACACTCTAGGCCCCTCCAAGCTTCAGCACAGCTGCTGCTCAGCTGTCATCCAGGGTGTCCCCCAAAGCCTCTTCTGCAACACAGGGGCAGCTGAAGCC